TTTTTTTTTTTTTCCCAGTGCAGTATTTTTGTTGGAGAAAGGCGAATGCGGTCAACAACTATCAGAGAGTATTTGTTAAGTGACGGGTCCATTCGCTCTTGTTACAGCATTAGCGTTGTAATTTAGTCGTCCGTTCCCGCGGTCTGTCGTTCTCACCGCTGATAACAGTACGGTTATCTTCAAGGGTTGACTGTTTGGCTGGTCCGATCCTCGAGTTTCCCGCAGCTCGTCGGAATATATGGGTTTCATTTTAATTTATTTTAATTTTATTTTGAACCTTCGCAATATTTTTAGGATAGGTATTTGAGTTGATAGACCGCCGTAAATACGTCGACGTCAAGAAGAATTTGTTACAGGTTATAACAGGTTAAAGTGGCATAAAGTTCAACAGGAATATTAAGCTTGTTAAATATTTTGTAAGTTGAAAATATCACGTGTTTAGCGCAGTTGGTGGTTCAGTTGAAAATTAATGAGGGAATCACTTGATAGTATAGGCGGTACGCGGATGTACTATGAAAGTGATTTGGATACAAAAAGAGAAGAAAGAAGGAGAAAAAATTTTTCTTGTATTTTTGGAATTCAAAAAGATTTATGCGATCAAAATATATTTCTTGGTTAGGTCTTTCTGCAGTTTTTTTCTTTAGTTGTAATCAGTTACAAACGTAATTTCAGAGGGTAGGAAGAACTCAGGAATACCACTGTAAAAATATAATTGCAGATATCATATAGTATTTTTTTTGTATACTTCAGCATACTTTTTTAAGTTTGTACAAATATTTTGAGAATTCACGCTTTCTTAAACGTTTGTATTCTTTCTGTTAGTTTTTAAATGTGCATAGCTGTTGGTGTTAATGATGGGGGTAATGATGACAGTGATGACGATGACGAAGATGACGGTGGTGATGGGGATAGAGGATGCTTCCGTTTGTTGTTGTTTTGAGTTTTTTTTCGGAGATTATTCAAATTTTTTTTTATGACGTGTCAAGATTACGTTTTTTTTTTGTGGTAAGTTCGCTTTGTCGCTATGTTTCGTGCGTTCTTATTATTATTATTATTATTATTATTATTATTATTATTACTGATTCCGAAAAATCTCAAAATTAATTTATTATTATTGTCTTATTATTATTATTATTATTATTATTATTATTATTATTACATGACGATGTGTAAGAGGATACCAGAAAGCTGAATGAATATAGAATCTTTCAAGTGCAAGTTTTAGACTCTCAACTTTTTAGGAGGCAAAGGGATTTTATTGGTTTTAAAATAATTTTTATTGGTAAATCTTTCATTGTGTTGACTTTCTACTAGCTTTTTTTTTCGTAACCATTTTACTTCAGTCTGTATGGAAATGTGTTCATATTTGTTTTTTAATTTAGTTTATTCACGTTCTTTTCTATTGGTGTTTAAGGCTGACTGTGAAAATTTGGAAAACACCGTTTAAATGACCTCATGAAGTTTATTGCTATTACTGATATTTTTGGTACTGTTATCGTTACCAATATTGTTATCATTGTCATTTATTTATTCAGAATTGTTATTGTTTTTTCTTTATTTTTATTCTTATTATTGTTTTCATTTTCATTAGTTGTGCTATTGCTGTTACCATTGTTACTGTTACTGTTGCTGTTATTATTACTATTGTTATTACTGTTACACTTGTAGTAATAGTATCATTGTTGTTAGTGTTATAGTTGTCTTTATTGTTTGATTGTTTATTTGTTGATTGATTGGATTAATTGCTGATAATATTGTTACAATGTTGTATATGAACGGTTTGCAAAGGATGGACGACGCCATTATAAATCAGTGTGACCACCCAAATGATCGTTCAGAAACCTTTAAATGGAAACTTTGTGAGCTATGTTTTTTGCTCGTGTTTTTCACTTTGGAATTGAACTTTCCATCAACAGTGTTATTTTTTACTTCTTCCTCTAGGTTCTTCCATTCGTTCATGAGGTTTTACCGATACCATACTATAATTTGGTTGATACTGTTTAAGGATCTGGTGTTGGCATTTATCAGTTCGTTGTTATGAGACTCCGTCTAGTACAACCGCACGCTGATGGGAAATATGGCGTAATGGTGTGTGTTGATGCTTTTTAGTTGTTATTTATTTGCTTTCATTTGGTTTATGGCTTTCTGAATT